GGGGGGGGGGCCGTCTGAAGCATCGCACCTCGTCCCTCTCCCAATGAAAATAAAGCGCGCCGTCCCCCTGCATCAGTGGTTCCTCACCGGGGGCATGTCGCTGCCCCGTGGAGCTGTTAGGGCTGCACTCCCCACGCTGCACGCCCGAGGCCCCGGTGGGATGGGAAGGGGCGGGCCCGTGTGTCTGCGGCCGTCTCCCAGGAGACTGCTGCATCCCGGCTTTATGGTGCCTCTGCAGGCCCCGTGCCCGCAGCCGCCCCTCGAGCTGCTGCTGAAGCTCTGAGCTCCCCCTCGCCCCTCCCCGCCAAGAACAACTGTAGCTCCAGACGTTTGGAGGAAGGGAGTAACGATCACGTGTGGGGTTTGCTCCTGTGAACACGAAGGGTCTGCTGGAAGGAGAAGGCTTCGTTGAGCCCGAGTTGAAGCTCTCTGCTCTAATGCTAGCTTCTGTGTGTCTTGGAGGGCTGGCCGCCCACACCTGGGGGCTGTGAGAGTCCCTTCCCGAGGCCAAGGTCCAGGCACAGAGTTCTTCCGCCACGGGCCCTTTTCTCCCGCGTGCGGGTTCCCTCGGCAGGTTGACTAGGGAGGGGAGTGAGAGAGCTCGTCCCACAGTCCCCTCAGCTCAGCCGGGATCGGGCCTCCCGCGAGCCTAGAGAGACCCGCCAGAGCTCGGCGTCTCGCTCCTCCGTGTGGAAACGAGCGTGTCTTCTCATCGAATGTACCTTTGGAGGCTGTCCCTGTGGATGAATACTGCTTTGTTTTAAATAGCCTTCCATTTTACAAATCCTGTTTTCTGTTTTTCGCTGGTCCTCAAAGGCCAGGTTTTTTTTCCAACAACCCATCCTATTTTAATGATCCATCCAAAAGCCAGGGTGGGTTTACAACGCCCGAAGTAAAATGATAGCCAGAGGCACCCACTGAGGGCGGCCTCACCACTCTCCTTCCCCACCTCCCCCTCTGCCCCTTCTAAGCCAGCGCGCTCCTCTTTGGTGCGAGGGTGGTGTGCCTGACCCCGAGCGCACCAGAGGGTGACGAAGGGCTTTGCATCTGCCGCCTCGACCTCAGTGAGCGGTCGTGGCCAGCTCTCCGCAGGATGTGCGTCAGGGCCGGAGAGATGCTAGGCTTGCTTGCCTGTGGGCCCCCGGAGCCCGTTCAACTCTGCTTTGGGAAGCCAGCTGCTGCTGTCCTCTGGTGTGCAAAGTGGAACACGGCAGGCCCCCGGCTTGTCCTCTCCAGGCTGGTTCTGCCCCTGTCCTTCACACTTTCTGATCGTTTGGTCATCAGGTCTGGTTTCTGATAAATGTTTGAAAGCCAGATGGAAAAACATTTCTGTTCCCCGATGAGGAACTTAACTTTGTTTTTGTCAGAGAGACTAAAGGAGAGATATCGAGAATTTTTTGTTTTTTTAAAATTTTCCAAAGCTGCCAACGATAATGGACTTTAGAGTTGTCAGAACGTCACCCGATTATGGAGGCGCGTGTATTTGTGGCGGTGGAAGTCGGCCGAGTCCACGGCCTGGTCTTCCCTCGGCCAGAGGCTCGGGGCCCGCCTTTGACGTGGTGCCTGTCCTTCTCTCCAGGGTCTCCTCTCAGCCAGGTTGCTGCTCGGTTTCACTTCGCTGGATGGTTCCCTCTCAGTGGCTTTTGCACTATCCTTGTCCCTAATTTTAAGACTTGTTGGAGGTTTTATGAAGCGATGATGGAGAGAAGAGTGGGGAGAGACACGCAGGGCCGCACACGGCACAGTGAAGCCAGCGGCCCGGGCTGAGGCCCTCTACCTGCTGGCCCTGGCTCTGTGGCAGCGTCCTCGCCTCCCGAGTGTGGCGCTAGAGGACAGTGCGTGGCCGTGCGGGCGTCTGTAGGGTAGAGACCACGGTACAGACGCTGTGTTGTCTTCACCGCTTGTCCCGTCCGTCTCCATCCCCCTCCGCTCACTCAAGAACGCAAGCGTGCTGGAGGCAGGGCTCTGGTGTTCCTGACAGTTAAGAGCCCCGGTGCTGGGTGACAGCACACATAGTCTGGGGTGGGATTGGAGGATTTTTTTTTTTTTTTAATGTTTATTTTTGAAGGAGAGAGAGACCGAGCGTGAGTGGGGGAGGGGCAGAGAGAGAGAGAGAGAGAGAGAGAAGAGAAGAGAGAAAGAGAGAGAGACAGAATCTGAAGTGGGCTCCAGGCTCTGAGCCGTCAGCACAGAGCCTGATGTGGGGCTCAAACTCACGAGCCGTGAGATCATGACCTGAGCTGGTCAGACGCCTAGGCACCCCAGGATCAGAGAACGTTTACCAGTCCTGTTTTCTGGTTCTGAGAGAGTGTGTCCTTGGTGGGAACCGCTTGAACAGCTGCGCGGCGTCTTCGTGCCCTGTGTCCACTGCCGTGCGCTCCAGCCACTCGTAAAGTTGCGGCGGCACGTTTTTGAATTCTTACCCGAGACAGACTCTTTGGAGTTGATTTGTTCTGTTGGTCCGGAGTGAAGAGTGACAGATACGGACTGGGTTCGAATCTCCCTTGTGGATGCTCATCGAAGGACTCTCTCTTGCAGGTGGTCCGGACAACCAGGTCCACTTTGAAGGGTACCAGGTATCCAATCAGTGCATGGCGCTGGTCCGTGACGAGTGTCTGCTGCCGTGCAAAGACGCCCCTGAGCTCGGCTACGCCAAGGAGTCCAGCAGCGAGCAGTACGTGCCTGACGTGTTTTATAAGGTAAAAACACCACGGTACCCAAGGAATCGTGCGGCGTGGCGTGGGCGCGGACCCGTGTTGGACTCCGCGGTCCCCTCAGCTGCTTCTCCTCTGAGCTTGTTTAGGACCCACCTTGTGGGTAACAGCGCCCCGTCTTCAGGGCTTCAGGGCTCGGTATTCAGCTGCTCGGGCTTCTAACCGAAAGGAGACGTAACATTCATGGGGCTGGGTCCTCTGCCGCCAAATCAAAGCCCTGCAGCGCAGAGACCATTTCTGTTTCTCAAGACAAGACGACGACAGGATACATCACCAGGAGTCAAGGGTGGAGCTGTGTGTGCTCAGTAATTAGGCCCTCCTCGGGGCGCCGGCATTTGAGTTAACGAGTTGGACAAAGGATTGTCTGTTTAGAAATCCTTTTCCTTGTGAAAGCTATAAAAGCTGTTTTTATCGAGAAATGTCCTGTTGAACGTGTAGGAGTCAGGTGCTTCCCTATGGGAAGCTGGAGACCCCATTTTCCTCCTCTACTCGGCACTCGTTCTCGGGTCCCGTCGGGTGGACTTGGGTCCCGTCTGCCCCATCCTGCCGCCTGGAGGGCTCCTTGAGTCATGTCTCTCGGTGCAGGGCAGCCTTGCCGCGTCTGAGGGCACTGTCTTCACTTGGGTGTCTTCACGGTAGAGAGAATTCTGGGTTGACGGTCAGCTCCACCGTCCCCTGCCTCGGGGTGTTTCTCGCAGGAAGCCCCTGTGCCCCTCGTGGGCTCCTCCATTCACAGTGTGACTTTCCTGCTGACTGCCTTTCCGTTCTTGTCTTATCGCTGGTTTTTAGCAGCTTGACTTTGACTCGGGTAGTCTTCCTCGTGTCCTGCGTTTGGCGGTGGTTGAGCTTCTCGGGTCTTCGAGTTGTGTCAATTTTTGGCCATCGTGTTTGTTTTACATTGCTGCCGTGACAGGTGTTTGCGGACGTGGCGGCCATGAAACCCGGCTCAGGCGTTGCCTCGTAGTCCGGGCCACGGCAGGGTCGGTTGGGGCTCTGACGTTCTCCGTGGCGTGAGGCGTCGGCAGCACCGAGTGTCCCGGCCCCGGCCTGGCGGCAGGTCACGGCAGGGCCGTCCGCTGCTCTTCCCTGGAGGCCCGCAGGAGTGTACCCTCCTGGCCTGCCTGTCTAGTCCAAGGTCATCTCCCGATTTTAAGGTCAGTTGATGAGTAACCTTCATCACACCTGCAACATCCCTTTGCCACGTGAGGGGACAGACGCACGGGTGTGCGTCCTCCTCCCATTCATGGTCCTGGGGAGGAGGCTGGGAAGTATCCCAGAACCATTTCTAGAATTCTGTAGAATTCTGCACATGCCAGCCGTTCAGTACCTTTTTCTTTTTTGGTTTGGGATTTTGTTGTTGTTGTTTGTTTTTGATCGCTCAGGGACTCCAGTCACACGTGTATTTGGCTGCTTGAAGTCCCACAGCTTACTGATGCCCCATTTGTCGTATTTCAGTCTGTTTTCTTTCTGTGCCTCATTTTGAGGAGTCTGCGTTGCTGTTTCTTGCGGCCTGTTCGTCCTGGCTTGTGTGACGTCTGGTCTGCTGCCGCTCCCATCTAGCAAACCGTCCGTCCCGGGCGTGATCGCTGCGGTTTCCTCTGGTGTGTGTGTGTGTGTGTGTGTGTGTGTGTGTGTGT